AAAGTATGTCCAAGACTCCTAAAAAACGTGCACTAGTGTCTCTTAAATAGTCGGGGTCGAGTCCTAGTCGAAATAGGTCGAAAGTACCGTAAAAATAGGAAAAACGCGTCAAACCCATATGAAATGCGCCCAGGGTCACACAACTCGTGTCATAAGTCACACGAGTCGTGTGAAAAAGCCGTAAGCTCAATTCGCGATCGGTTGGAATGACACGACTCGTTTCTCGAGCTCATACGACCCGTGTTGACCTGGGTGGCTGAAACTCAATCTTTTGCGCAGCTCTCGCCTCCTGATCACATTCCCGGCATCTCAGGTGTCCCCAGGTGGTTGAAAATGACTTACAGGTAGTCAGAGATGGCAGATTCCGTTCAAATTCCGAGTAGCTTCCATGGCCATGCACAAAAGTGACGAGTAACAGCAGCTTCCGGCTCTCAGGCATCACTAGCGGCTCCAAGTGATATGGTCGGAGCTCTGACCGGCGACGGACGTCGATCATGGTGGTTTCCGGCGACTCTTCCTCAGCCCGGCATGATAGCGTCTTCTCGACGGTCGGGCAGCTCCTCCAAGCATCTTCTCCGACGAAATGGTGGTTGATACGGTCACCGCGGCTCCAGCGTCTATGCAGTGGGGAGGTGACAGACNAATGTCTTGTGCATCATTGTTAGATTATTAAGTTTAAAGATCAAAAATGGGGATTCTAATGTCAAACTGGTCGAATGTTGTCCAAACTATCAACTATGCCTGAAAATTACATATTCTCGATCGAATTATCAAAATCTATATTCTTCATACATTCAACTTGATTAAACCCTAAATATAAATTGTCCAAAACTCAAAAGGAAGTAAAGAATAAAATACTTATAAATATAATTATCCGATTGGGTGATGAATGCTCAAATCTGTGTTTTTTTTTTCGTCTGTCTGCCTCTTCACTCGACTCGTTTTATCAGTTGCGTGCAGAAACACAACTTTTGTTTTTTATAATCTTTTATTATAATTACGTTATTTATTTATTTAATGGTGTAAAAAATACTTAATTAACTTAATTTATTATATTATATTACTTATTAAAGCAAAAGAAAGAAGGAGAGTACAATTCTCAAGAAATAGAGATTTATTTACTTTAATATATATTTTAAGGGGGCAAAGTACTTAAATATACATAATATTATATATTATATATATTATACATACATAGTACAAAAGAAAAAAAAAAAGTTTGGGGAGACCATGCCCACCTACCTTGTACGTGCATCCGCCCCTGGCTCCTAGTTCAAGCATGGCGGACGTGGTGACGTTTGTTACGTACGTGAGGAACTTGAAGAAGATGATAACTTGTAAGAAAAGACCATTATGCCCTTGATTTAATTAGCTTCTTTGGGCTGATTTTGATATGCTTGATGGGCTGATGCTTGCCCCCAACAAGACAAATAAACTGGGCCTAAAATACCCTTCTTATGGGTTGTGTACCTGGGCTCGTTCCAGTGCATAGCCCTTATTCATTTTTTGTCCGTTTCTTGCCATTTTCGCTCCCAATAATTATTCCGATCTAATTTCCTGTCAAAATTCAATTATAACACCTCATCATAGCTTAATAAAATTAATTAAATACATAATTAATTATATATTAATTAATTAACAATAACTAATTATATATCAAACTATGACGAAACGGGCATGAAAATCACTCTATAATCCACGTAAAAATGACGCATGTCAGTTATCTTGTGTGTGTGGTGCAACTGGATTTTCATTCTCGCATGGTTGGAAAATTTTTCAGATAAACTTGAAAGTAGGGTTGTTATTCGAACGGAACGTTCGCGAACAAAGCTCGTTCGAGTTCGTTCGTGTTCGATAACAGCTTGTTTGTTTAGCATTCGAACCGAACACGAACATAAAATTACGCTCCTTTAGTTATCGAACGAACACGAACATGTTCGCGAACTAAACGAGCGTTCGCGAATAAAAAAAATATTTTATAATTTTATATATTAAAAATATAGTATATACATGTATAATATAATATATAGATACGAATATATATTAAATATTAAATAAAATAAAAATATTTTACAATTTTATATATTATATATAGTATATACATATATAATATAATATATAAATATGAATATATATTAAATATTAAATAAAATAACTCATATGGCATTAAAATAAAATAAAAAGTTAACAAACACGAACACGAACATGTCGAACAATTCGAACAGTTCACGAACAAGTTCGACTAGATAAACGAACGAACACGAACGTTTCCAACCAGTAAACGAACGAACACGAACGAAATTTTTTGGTCGTTTACTAAACGAACGAACACGAACATGTTCGAAAATTAGTCGAAGTCGAGCTCGGAAACCTTAAGCTCGGTTCGGTTCGATAACAGCTCTACTCGAAAGCATTCTTTGGGGTTCGGAGACCATTTAATTTGATTTTTCGACTACACAATTATTATTTTTTCCTTGCAAAACTTATGTTGTCTTCTTCTCTGCTTTTAGGAACCAAAATAGAGTATGTGAACGATATACCTTCTATATATAGTTGAGTAGCGAGAAATATCAATTAGTGTACATTCTAGTTTTGTTTTATATGACCCTAGTTAAAACTTGTGAATTATTAACTACGCTCTTATACATATGATAAATGATCATTTTGAGCTGATTTATTATTCTTTAAGGATTACAAAGATAATTATTTTCATATACTTGAATTTTTTATTAGAGAAATAACATAATTTATTAAAAAGACTACTATGTGATGGTGTAATAGTCCATCATTCTTGGTATATGACATGTCATTTAAAGTTTATATGTTATTTCTTTTACTATGCCATACAAATAAATGAGATATAGTATTAAATTTTATCAACTGTTTATTTGAAATCAATGAATATATAATTAAAATGTGAAATTCATAAATTTCGGTACATACTAAATATTCTAATGGAAGTCTAGCACAATCAAATATTGTCTCGGATACAATTAATCAAATGAACAATGAAACCGGCTTAACTAAAAA